CAAGTCGCTTCTGCTTATCATTTACTCAAATATATCGGTATTAATTTTTAAATTCAGATATGTTACGGAATGAAGGAATTATCAAGAATGTTACCGGAATAATAATTGTATCGGGAGAGTTGGAAACAAGTGTTTAACCATCATAACGATAAGAACATACTGGTGGTAATTCAACATGTTGCAAATTACTTTAAACGTAACTGGTAATTTATCAGTTATCTAAATTCGTACGTACGTACCGACCTACGTACGTAAATCTTAACCTAATAGCAGATACGTAGCTAAATTTGAAAAAAAAAAAAAGTTTACGTGGCTTAAAATACGGAAATACGGAGTGACTCTAAGAAATATTGTTCCATAAATTATAAATTCGTGCAGCACAATGTATCGGAAAGCATCGGATATGTACGTGAGTAAGTACAACGCGAGAAGTTAAAAACGTACAGTAAGCCACTCACTTTGAATTCTCAACGAATGCATAATATTACCTTTAATTTTCGCTATGTCGGAGCCAACTAAAACTCAAATTGATGAGATCTTCAAAAAGCTCACTTCTCAACGAGCAAATAAAGTATATTTTTACTTGTGCTCTCGTAAGAAGCTTTAAGCTTTTCGTCAGACACATAATCCACTTTTTTGATCTTGTAGATGTGCTTTGATTGTAAAGCTAAAAATCCTTCTTGGTCGAGCGTAACCTTTGGCATATATCTTTGTTTGGATTGCTCTTCTGTACATAGGAATCTTGGAGTCCACATCAGTTTTGTAAGGTAGATTTTATTTTGGTAATTATCTCTTCTTTAATTTAAATACAGATCGAAAATGACTTTCTATATATTATTGTGTCAGATCTGTATCTCTAGATTCTTGGACATGGGATCAATTGCGAATTATGAAGATAGGAGGCAACGCTGCTGCATCAGAGTATTTCACAAAACACGGTGGTAACGCTTCATTGAATAATAAAGATGCAAAATTAAAATACACCTCTCGTGCGGCCTTAAAATATAAAGATGAGCTTATTAAGAGGGCTAATGAAGATTCTAAAAAGTAATTTCAATTTTCTCTGCCCTTATCATATTTGAGTTATTAAATCTAACTTTTTAATTATTTAAAGAAATCCAGATTTCGAGATTGTCGACCAATTTGAAGAGGAACAACAAACTTCTCCTAAATCTGATGACTTTTTTGAAACATTTGACAAAGAACCTGTAGAAAAACCTTTAAAATCAGATGAAATAACTAGTACTGTTGCTACAGACAAGCCTTCTAGTTCTAGCAGTCATAAGGTTATAAAGTCTACATCCACTGGAAGGTCGAACATCACTGCACGTGGGAAAGGACAAAAAAAGTCAAAAGTTGGGTTGGGTGCTGTAAAACTTCAAAAGGTTGATATAGAAATAGCGGAGCAGCAAGCTAAAGAAGAAGAAGAATTAGTTAAACAACAATCACAGAATGAAGAAGAATTAAATTTACATAAACCGGGAGAGCGATGGTCTTTCAGTTCCCGCTTAGTATATAATGATGGATCTCAATTATCTGGAGGTTCCCAGGAAACAATCAACAAACGACTCAGTGACGATATAGAGAGACTTGGTATGGGAGTTTCAAGATTAGGATTTGGAAGTGTCAGTGGACCTATTGCGAACACTGAAGAAAAGACTACCACTTCAAAATATATCGGATTTGGATCAACTAGTAATACAAATAATTTAAGCAAATCAAATAATAATGGTATTTCATAAATTTTTTTGGAATATTATTTTTATTATATAAATATTTTAGCATGAACTTAATTAAATTTTGAATTCTTTTTGACAAATTAATTAGATGTTATTTCAGATGGTGATTACGCTCGTCAAAAATTTGGCGGGCAAAAGGCAATTTCTTCTGATCAATATTTTGGTCGCAACCAGTATGATCCTGATGCCATGTCAGAAGCATCCGATCGGTTGAGACAATTCGAAGGGGCAACTTCTATATCTTCTAATCAATATTTTGGACGTGATGAAGAACCTTCACGGCGTGAAAATTTGGACATTGGCGGATTGGGAGTGAACGCACGTGATTTTGCACACAAATTCATTGGACAGGCGGCATCAGACTATGAGGCGATCAAAGCTGTAGTTGAAAAGGGAGGAGAAAAACTGAAGGATTATATCACTGACATACAGGTAAGAGGTGTACTGCTTAGCTTTCCTTTAAAAAACCTTTTTGTATTTGAAGATTTACTATTAATTTGAATTTAGCAACGTGTAAACTATTAACATTGTTGATATTATCCGATTACAAGAGAGTTATCAAGCGGTTCTATAATTTATAATTTTTATTTTTTTTATTAAAAAAAAAAAAAAAAAAAAAAAAAAAAAATAGACTGTTTTATGTTTTAACACTTGTTTTTCTATATATTCAAAAGAAAATCATTAAAATGATATTTTAATAAACGAGTAAGGATACAGGTAATTTTATTTTCGCGTATCTATTTATATAAATGAAATTTATCATGATATTTCAATATTTTGAACTTATTATCTAAAGTACCGACCGCACTTATTAAAAGATATCCTTTAATATCTCGTCTGGGTATTTTGTATATATTTTTTCTCTCCAAACATAATACCCGGTATTTTCATATTACAACATATTAATTTTTATATTACATATAATAATCCATGTAATACTCCTTATCAAAAATAATCCTGGTATTTTATAAGTTTTCTATTCGTATAGACGAATGCTCCAAGTGAAAAAAAAACTGTAAATCTGATTTTGAATTTATCACCTTGCTGGATCTGACTGACCCTCATCTAAATAATGAAAATTAGTATTTATTAAATAAATGCGTGAATTTGTGATCAGAAGAATGTGTGAATGTGTTCTTCAATCACGTTTTATTATAATTGAGGAGTGGACTACTAAGAATCCTATCGGGATGCAACTTATATATCGCAATAACTCTGATTTTCTTATACTAAATTTTCTATATAAATCTGGTTCTCTAGAAGTTGTTCAGTTTTAATAAGTATATATATTTTTGTTTATAAATATATATTTTATTTGTATTCTGAATAATATATACTACTTTATATAATAATAATAATTTTAATACAGAGTCTGTGAGTTCTTATTTTTGTTAGATAACTTTTTGTAAAAAGCTATTTTTAAAGAAATTTTATTAGTTTTTGCTTGTTTTTTTTCTAAAGTAGTATATTATTCTTATTTGTAACTTTTTAGTTAATAAGACTTTTTTTGTTTTTTTATAAATTTCTACTTTTTCTTTATATTTTTTTTCTTTTCCAAAATTAATTAAATAAATTATAAATTAAAAATATATAATAATAATTAAATAAAATAAATAAAACTTATTTTATAATATTTTTGTTTTTTTTAAAAAATAAATATTATAAATTTTAACTAATTATAAAAGCTGAATAAAATCTTTATTATTTAATACTTCTAAGTTAGTAAAAATTATTTTTTATCAAAAAGAAAAACAAAAGACTCTTTCTGTTAATCATTTTGACTAATTTTGGAGCAGAAAGAAAACTAAAGAAAACATATAATTTCTATTAAGAACAAGCAGAAAAGCTACTAAATAAAAGAAAGCAGAGAAGAAAAATATATATAACAAAACAGAAGAACAGAAGAAAAGTCTGAAGAAACTTAACAAAAACTCTTTCTATAGATTATTTTGACCAAATTTAGAGCTAAGAGAAAAACCAAGATATCTCGAAAAAGCTATTAAGAAACAGTATCTAAAGTATTAAGAAAAAAGAAAGAAAACCAAAAAATACATATAGTGTATTAAAAGAACAAGAGCAAAAAATAACTAGAAAGGCTATTACAAAATTTGGAATGGAAAAATTTGACGAAAAAAAATTTTTTCTTAGAAATTTTGAGGATTTGGAAACATTCTGAATTGCAGATCAGATATTGTAATACAAACATATAAAAATGGTATAAAAAACAAGCATGATTTAGGAACTAACAAGATATGTCATGTGTCAATTAATAAAAAGAATCTATACATAACAGAAATTGGAAAAATTACAGGTAATCAGGAAAAAACCTAAGGAATTTCGTCAAAAAGACAAAGTTACTAGAAAAAAACAGATTAAAGATGGAAGAAACCAGAGTATACAAAACAAGATCAAAATAACATGTAGAATACAGAAAGCTCTAAATACTTCATTAAGAAAATAACCAAAGAGTATAGCAGAGAAATTATTCAAGAAAGTAGTATATCAGTACTAAGTCTAGCAAATCATCTTGATGAAATAGTCATGAAAGTAATGAATATTGATAAGAGTATCATTATTTTAGCAAGACAATAGCGTGTTATACTAGAAAGAGCTGCTTTCACAGAAGGTATAGACAAAATCAAAGAAGTTTTAGGAAGAGAGCAAGAAGTAACAATTATGCAACTAGAAAAAGCAAATGAGACAACACAAGAAATAGAAATGAGAATTGAAGAGGTAATAGTTACAGAAGCAGAAAGAGATAAAGAATTAGAATCACGCAAAAATATAAAACAGAACATGCAATATTAAGAAAAGGTAAACAGCAACAAAAGAGGAGCAGAAAGAGTAAAAGTACCAAAAATTATAGAAGTTATCTAATTAGTAGAAAATAGTATAGAAATACATTCACGTAAAGATAAAGTAGAAGATAGATTAAAACAACTAGTAGAGATAGAAAAGCAAGACATGGCAGTATATCTTTAGACTGTAGTTTATAGGCATCTAACCCAGAAGTATGCAAAGACAAAGGAGAGATCAAAGCAAAGGTAGTAGCAGTCAAGATCCTGGAAGATAATATAGAACAAAGAGAAAAATCAATAAGATAGTCTCTAAGAGAAAACAAACATATCAAAGCAATTCAAGAAAAATTTGCAAATAAAAACTAATAGTGTATTATTTACTTTGATTGCAAAAAAGAGTATGATGAAGCTAAGTTAAGACTAGAGAAAAAGAAGGATGAATTTGACTAGATAAATCTAATACTCGAGAAAAAGTTTAAAAAAGAAAGTCCAAAGAAAAAAAAAATTATACAAAACAAAAAAAAAGAAAAAGAAGGAAGAGAAATTCAAGCAAAGAAGGAACTTGAAGAAATACTAAAGAAGAGATCTACTCAGTATGACTAAACTGAAAAAGGGAATATTCAACAAGTAGTGTAAGCAAAAAAAGAAAGAAAACAGCTTATGTCCAAATAGAAAAAAAAAAAGTAGTATCTATAAAAGATAAAGGAAAAAAAAGAATGTACAAACAAGAAACTCTCCTAACTAAAGAAAAAGTCCTCAGTAGAACTAATGGCATAGCTAATGAAAGAAAATCTTATCCAAACAAAGAAATGACTATTACTGTATAGAATATACCCTACCATATATCAAGATCACAAGTCTTCTTTGCAATTAAATACTTGGATCATGTTAAAAATATCAAAATGATAAAAGAAAGATATAGAAAAATGAGAGCAGAAATATCTTTTAAAAAAGAAAGTAGTTTCGTACAAGGGATTGAAGCTTGAGTTATCTCTTTCACAAATGAACTTTTAGTATGTATCACTTCAGAATCGAACAGAAAAGAAATACTTGAAAACAGAAAACAGTTTATAGCGAGGTTATACAATATACTACAAAATATAAATAAGGTATTACTGTTCAGACAACTAAAACATACTGGTACAAGTGCAGAACATGTTTTCAAAAATTCAAATAGAAACAACAAAGATTATGCACTAGTATCTTTTAGAAACCAACAAGAAATAGTTTAAACACAAAAGTATTCTGTTAAATATTATGATTCTAGGCTCTTTTAAGAGATGTCTAAAGCAGAATCAATAGAAGAATATTATAATGAAGAAAGATATAAGCAAGAACCTTATGACTATGTATTAAGTACAAGAAGTTCTAAAAGATATGAATTATCTTCTAACAAGCTAACCTTATCTCACAAAATCAAGAAGAAATCTTCAGAGAAGGAAAAAAGACTAGAAAACAAAGCATACAGAAACTTAGAAAAGCAAGTTAAGTCCTATACAGATAATAGAAGAATAGAATTCTATAAAGAAAATAAATATAAAGAATCTATCAATGATATGGCTCAATGCATTCAGGCTTTAAAAAAAAAACTAAGTAGCTTTAGAGATAACTGGAGCTTCGAAGCTTCAAACTGCTCCTGAAAGTTGCCAAAGTTGAACTAATAAAAGCTTTAGTCAATCAAAAAAGAAAACTTGAAAGACAACTTAGAGCAAAAACATTTTCAAACCAAAATAAAGAAAAACACAAAAGAAGCATAGCGAGAAGCGAAAGAAAAAGAATAATTGATGATGATAATAGAGACAGAAAGAAAAAACAAAAAAATATAAAGATAGGTATATATAATATTAATAGAATTAAAGGAGACAACACAAAGGTAGAATTATTAGCAGAGTATAGTAAGTTAGAAGATTACAATTTAATTAGAATAGTAGAAACTAACATAGATGAACAAGAAGGCAAATGAATAAATACAAAAGAGTATGAGTATTCAAGCTTTTGAATAGAAACAGAAAAAGGAAAACACAAAAGATCAGGAATTGGGCTACTAGTTAATAAAATTTGGTTGAAAAACATAGAAGTTTGCAAAAGATTTAGCTCATATCTGCTCAAAGCTGAGTTTTTCTTTAGAAGATTAGTTTTTCAAATATGGATAGTATATCTACCTCCTAAGAATGAAGAAGTAACGAAAAAGATATATAAGATACTATTAGAAGAAATTGTTAAGAACAGAAAAAACATAATATATATAGTCTTAGGAGATTTCAACACAGTGTTAAATGAAAGACTAGATATGAGTAGCAAAGAAAGAAGAAATGCAGATATGGGTATGAGAATTACAAAATAGTTGAAAAATACTGACTACATAAAAACCTTCTACTTCTGCAATCTAGAGTTAATCAAATACTTATGGTCAAATAGTAATGTATCAACTAGAATAGATCATATTTAGACAATGCAAGATATGAGGAATCTTATTCTAAATAACAATATAGAACAAATAGAAACAGTAACAAATAGTGATCATAGAATAGTCTGGTTACAATTAGATAGCATAGATATCTTAGAAAAGAATAAGCAAAGAAACAAAAAGAGACAAAAAAAAAACAAAAAGACTATACCAATATCACAAGGCAA